ACACTGAAATAAGACAGGAGAACCATTTCTGACTTTTGAATTATCTTTTTTATTTCAGTTTTTATACTTCTTGAGTTTTCTTTTTCCCTTCACCAGCTTCCTATATAGTATCTATTTACTTCCACATTTCCTTTACTTCTTTTTTCCATGTTCTTTCTTTCCTTTTATTGTTTCAATCTCGAAAGGTCCCTAGTATGGCTGCCCCAAGGGTCTAAAAAGCCCCTAAATAAGAGTCAGAGTTCTCCAGTATTCAAGGTTCAGCAGCACCATTTGCTATCACAAACTGTGAGTGAAGATATTTTCCATTATAGTATTGCAGCATCTCATGTGTTATTGTTCTTATTAAACAGCAAATACCTTCAACAGTATTCCCAGAAACCCCCATGTACGAACCTCTATGGAGCAGAAGTAACATTTGTTGCCACTTTTATACAAGCTTTCAGTGGGAAAAAAATTAAAGCTGTCCTATGTCTTCCCTATGCACAGTGAAATCCAATGTTTATCTGTGTTAATTCTGTGGATGTGTGACACTAACATAACAAGTTAAATTATATTTTAATGTAGCGTATGTGTCAGTAATGTAAGAAGAATGAACTGGGTTTTTTTTTAAATTGTGACTGAGTGCTGTCAGGGCTAGCCTAAATTCAAAAGCAGTCCAAGTGGCTGCTTAGGGTGACAATATTTTCAGGGGCAGCAGTGTGAAGTCCGAGAGGAATGTCCTAGGAGCCCTTGCATTGTTTCAAGGGATGCTGAGGTAAAAACCAGATAGTATTGGCCAGCCCTGAACATTTGTAAAATGTTGGTATTGCTACGGCTGTTATATATTAACCCCCCTACAAAGTCTGTGTGTGTGTGTGTGTGTGTGTGTGTGTGTGTGTATTAGCATGATAGAGGATCATGATTAATAATAAAATAATAGTTAACAATAGCAATAATAATAATGATTGTTCCTTGTTTGGGTATCTGAGTACCATCTAGGTAGCCAGCACAAAGAAACTATAGTTTATGCATCTGATTATGAACTTCTAATCTGGGCAGTTATAATCCTAAAAAAGGAATGGTGAGGCTTGCGAAAGGAGAAACAGTAATATGTTTATCTTTGTTTTGTTCTTCATTGTTTTCTTAATTCTGCAGAATATGTATCGTATGGTTTCACAGTTCCTCATGAACATGTCTGAAGTTAGTGTTAGTTAAAGTAATTTTAATTTGTTACTGTGCCTTTTTCATTGGAAGCTTTTCAAGGGTTTGAAGATACAGTTCATACAGTATATTAGTTCCACATCAAATCTTAGCTTGGTGGGCCTTTTCTAAAGATAAATTATATTAGCAGCTTTAAATGAACAGTCTTTTATGAGAAGGATTCTATACCTAAAAACCTGGGAATCTGTACATCCCCAGGTGATAAGGAAGTGAGTGTTTCCAATAAGGTTTAAATTTCAGTGACAGACTTTGAAAATGTTTTTTGTAGGGGTGGGATGGGCAAGGAGAAGGGCAGGAGTTCATTTTCTTTTATCGCTTTTATTCTCTTTTCTCGTTCTTCAGTTTAAATACCTCCTCCCATCTTTGACACAGATATAGAAAAATAATCTCTAAGCTTTTGTGTCTGGAGGAAACTCTTCTACCTCAATGGCTTGTCTGCAAACCCACCTTTAATCTGCCTGATGGAAGGGAAGGGGCAGGCTCAGGTATTACCTAACACTGCTGTGGACAGATCACTTTTGTCTGTAGTTGCTTCGAGGGTTTGTCGCTAAGGTCATGGAGAGGTGTGGGGAGGCCTGTGTTTTTCTCAAGCAGACTACATATTTATGAGCAGCAAGAGGTCTGAGGGCCTTGTGTCCTGCTTTTAATGTAACTCAGGCTGGCTAGTGTCAGATTTGTGGTGAGGGTGGGAGGAAGAGGAAAACAGCCATCCCCCTCCCTGAGTTTCTTCCCAAGTGAGCGATGGTGGGGAAAGCCTCCACCCTGCAATTTGTGAGTGTAAATCCGAGCGTTCTGACTTAGCTGCCTGCTTAGTTGCTAGAAAGCTGGCAGCCAGGCCTGGAGCTGGCAGTGGGCAATAGGTCTGGTTTTTATGCCATCTCTACATAGTGCCCTTCAGCAGAGCATTTGGCTTGTTACAGGCTCCAGCCACACAAGCACAGTCAAGGTTAGAAGTACTCAGAGGCTACGGTGATACGAGGAGAAAGATCCAGCCACTGTCTTTCTGTGGAGACCAGAGCCTTGATTCGTTTGTAAAATTTATGCTCTTTTATGCAAACCTCTGTTCTTTTCTCTGCTGTATGATATTTGGAAGTTGGGGGTACTAAGCCTTAGTGTAGTTGGATGGGGTGAATTAGAGGAAGCAAGCAAGGAAGTAGAACTCTATTTTTAATAAAGCCACAGCGAGTTCAGCTATTGCTGGCTTTACAACCTTTTCTTTAAATGTGAGGATACTTGAGGATAACAGTTAGAAAAGTGCACCCCAGGATCACATCCCTCCCCCGTAAATTCTTGGCTTTTTAAATGCTCCCATTTTTTTTTTTCAATCCTTCTCTCTTCTCTGATTTTCTTTCTGTTTCCTTTCTCTACCCTTGCTTGTTTAAATCCATTTTCCTATTCTCCCTGCCCCCACCACTTTCCTCATTTCTCCTCTTTCTTCCTTTATATTTTTGTCTCAACATTGTTGACTTTTATTTTTCTGGAAGAGTCAAGTTTTCGGATTCTCTTTTGGTTAAGGATGTGCTATAAGGAGTAATAATCAGGCAACACAAAGAGAAAAGAACTTAAAACAGCCATTCTGCAGAGAAATTTTCACACTATTTTTGTGATGCATTTGAGTTTGGTCACTTTTGATTTATAGTGGTTTGGGCTTTAAGGATTTGGATATAAGAACACCATATGGAACTCTGCTGTACTTTAATCTGCAAGTTGTATTGTTAACAATTGAAGCATTTGGTGAATATTAAAACGAACAAGGGAGAAAATAGGGAGAAGGCACAAAGGTTCATAGTAGGGTTGGCCAAAAGCCCCACTTGGGTAAGAGAAAGATACTTCTTGAAGTCTATAATAGATAATACTGGGAACTTTCAAAGAAATAATATTTGTACTCATTTAAGACTTGGAAATGGAAGTGACCTGAATTGAGAAAAAAGCAAAACAGCTAAATTTCAACTGCATATCCATTGAAGTGAGGGAGTTTTAATTAGAAGGAAATATTTTCCTTGCCTTTTTATACAAATAGTTGAGGGGGGAGAGACTACTGGAAGAGAATGAGATGGAGAGGGAAAGACAGAACAGCTGCTTTTTCTGAGGCCTTGTGGGACTGTCTTTTGGGGTGGGGGGAGGTGGGTGGATACTAGGATATTTATTTATTTATTTAAAATATTTTTATGTCACCTCCTTGCCAAAATCTGCTGGCCAATAAAATTTTCATTGCGGCTGGACTTTGCTTATTCATTAGATATGAACTTGTCGATTTGGCAAATTGTTTTCAGTCTCTTAACTGCACAGAGTCTCTCTCTCTCTCTCTCTCTCTCTCTGCCACCCCCTCCTTGATTCCTTCTCCGCCAACCTCCCCCCTCCACCTCCCTTTCCCTTTGATGCAGCCATTGGCTGCTCCACGATGTGTCTCCTTGCCAAATAGGTGGATCCTTCTCTCTCTCTCTCTCTCTCTCTCTTTTTTTCTGCTGGCATTGGCACAGGCAAATGGTTGGGGACTGAGCATGAAAGGAGAAAGCAAGCGAGCAAGAGAGTTTAAGAGGAAAAAGGGAAAGGAAAAAAAGGGGGAAAACAACAACAAAATCCCCCAAACCCCAGCAGTTGGGTTTTGCCAGCAGCCGATCACAGCTGATTCTAGAGCGGAGTCTGTCCCTCTTCCTCTAGACCTGCGATCACCCCTATTCTCAGGCGGAGGGAGCCACATCTAAGTTGCATCTTTGCATTTTTGCCAACGCTGAAAGAGCTTCTCTCCCCCCACCCCCAACTCCCTATCCTGATTAGTTGCTGCTGTTCTTCTTGGGGTTTTTCCCTCATTTTTCTATTTGTTGTTGTTGTTGTTGTTCTTGTTGTAATTATTCTTTTTTCTTTAAGAGACATCTGGCATTTTTACACCTATTTTATGTGTGTGGCGCAGGCGGGGTAATCTTAATTTATTTCTGTTCTTTCCTGATGTTTCCATTTCTAATAATTAGCTTTCTCTTTTTGCAATTTTGAAACCTTTTTTTTTTTTTTTTGCTGCTCCACTCTTTTTATGATATAAGACTTAAACAATTTGGTTAATGGTTTGCACTGAAGAATGCAGCCAACAATTGCTTTCCACCTAATTTAGGAAGCATCCTGCACTCTTCTGTGCACTTCCTTCTTATATTTTTACTTTCCTTCTTGTTCTCCCTCCTCCCTCTTTCACCTCATAGCCCCAATATCCTCCCCCTCCACACTCTGCAATTCTGAGCCCAGAATTTGTGAATCGGGGGCTTAGCTTCGCCGGGATGAGCCAGAGCAATGGTAATTATTTCCATTTTTGACTTTTTTCCTGGATGCTTTAGCTTTAGGGAAGCCTTTATTTTTTAAAAGTAAGCCAGAAAGTCCCCTAAAACTACCTGATTGTATAGAAATTATCCAGGACATTGTGTGCAGCAAGGGGGAATCATCTCCAATTTTGTCCTTAAACCTAGTGTTGTCAAACAAACTTTATTATTTTTCAAGTTAGCCAAACTTTACTTCCTTTAATTTACATTGATTTTTTATTTTTTAAAAAATCTGTTAAAGTGCTATTATGGAAACAATGATTACCCCCCCCCCCCCCCCAACATTCCTGCTTGGCATCCCTCTTCTTCTGTTGTTTTATCTTGTTGCTGGGTTGATCATATTCCGAATTTGCCTTAATATTTTTCAGTGTGTGATTTGTTTGGCATCATAAAAATTTCAGTGTTAAAGATGATTCTTTCCCCCTCCCCACTTTCTTATTCTAATGTTTTTTCTTTTTCTTTTGTTTTGCACTCTTTTTGCTCTGTTTTCCCCAGGATGAATTCCACCCCTTCATTGAAGCTCTTCTTCCACATGTCCGTGCCTTTTCCTACACATGGTTCAACCTGCAAGCTCGGAAACGAAAGTACTTTAAGAAGCATGAGAAGCGGATGTCAAAGGATGAAGAGCGCGCTGTGAAGGACGAATTACTTGGTGAAAAGCCTGAGATCAAGCAGAAATGGGCATCCCGGCTGCTGGCCAAGCTTCGCAAGGACATCCGCCCGGAGTTTCGCGAGGACTTTGTCCTGACCATCACGGGCAAGAAAGCACCGTGTTGTGTCCTCTCCAACCCAGATCAGAAGGGCAAAATCCGCAGGATTGACTGCCTGAGGCAAGCTGACAAGGTTTGGAGGCTGGACCTAGTTATGGTCATCTTGTTCAAAGGGATCCCTCTTGAAAGTACTGATGGGGAGCGGCTATACAAGTCGCCGCAGTGCTCAAACCCGGGCCTTTGTGTCCAGCCACACCACATTGGAGTCACAATTAAAGAACTGGATCTTTACTTGGCGTATTTTGTTCACACTCCTGGTAGGTCATACAAACACCACCGCTCGCTGTATTTATTCTTTGTGTTTCATGGTAAAGGCGGTTGCTTTTCTCCAAAGTATTTGTTGTCTCTCTATCTCTGAGTTTCTTTTCATCCATAATTAACAAATTGCAAACTTCAGAAATGTACTAGGATGACCCCTTCATGCTCTGTTTGAAAAAAGCCACTGTGGAAAGTGGCCTTTTTTGACTTCCTGTTTCTCCTACCTGTGATGACTGTGACTACCATAGTGAAAAAAAATTCTCTTTTCTGCAAGCTGGGTGATACAAAATAAGAATATTTATGTAAATGTTAGGTTAATCAGATGAGAAGGACCTTGGTTTTTTTTTAGAATTTAGAACTAAGAAACATTTATCTCAAGATGAGGTTTTGTTTTCTTTGCTTGATTTTTTTTCTTTCTCCTAATTCCTTTTGTGGGCTTGATTTTAACGCATTGGTCTCCCTAGGGTTTTCAAACCACAAACATACATACAAGCAGTGCTGGCTATATTTGTGCAGTGTATGGCAGGAATAGAGCAATAAAATTAAATGTTCAATGTCTCCCGTCCCACATAGGAACAAGTTTCTCCAGAAAAAGGGAGTGTAGCAGTGATGGTTTTGAACCCCTTTCTTTTGTTTCCTTAGCCTCTTTTTTCACACCCAACATTACTACCTGAGTGAGTTTTTGCATGTGTGTTTGTGTACACATGCCCTTATTTAATTTTGTTTTGTTTTGATATTTCTTTCAGCTTTCTTTTTATTTAGTTTTCTTTCCAGTTTAAACAGAAAATGCCTGGTTAATTTTTAGCCTTTGCCCAGATACACCTAATTTGCTGCAGACTTTGAAATCCACATGGGCTAGCAGCGGGGGGGATTGTGTGTTTATTTTTTGCTGCACCAAGATGAAATGAAAGGGACCTACCCAAATTTCACTCCTTCCTCCTCCTGTTGTTACTCTTCTATTTCACACTTCTTTTTCTTTTTTCTTTTTCTTTGAAATTACAATAATCAGGCTTTTTTCCTAGTTGCCACTTCCGTCCTTGTTGCACTTTTTCTTTACTAACTGCAAATCTGTTCTGTCTTAGATCCAGTAGTCTTATCTTCTTGTCACCTTGTGTATCCCAGAACAGTTTGTGTTTCTTTAGTTTCAGTCTAATAATATTGTCAGGAGTCTTTTCTCCTTTTTTAGAATGTGCCCACCCAGTGTGTGTACAGCAGCCTCTGGACAATGTCAGGAGGTTCATCTCAGCGCCTGCGGATGGCATTACTGGCACACTCATATCATCTATTCTGCACAGCTCAGGGCACTTCCAGGCTTGGCAAGTAACAAACAGTGTTCCTCTGTTCCTTTTCTACAAGTTATTGTCCTTTCCCCACCTCTTAAAGACAAAACTGGAAGGCCCCCATCACCTTCCCAGCCACTTTCATATATACCAGTTCTTATCACAGAGGCATCCCCTCCCTTCTGCCTGGCACAAAATCTCATCACATGCACAAACATGCAAAATTTGAGCATGGGTGCATAAAAATTTCAGCTTGTGTTCACACTAGCACATACCACACATACGACATGTTCGTATTTATAGACATGTATGTGTAAAACAAGCTATGTCTCTGCTTATTATATACTTATTAGATCTTGACTTTGTCCTTCAGTTCCTAACGGAGCCCATTTTATAAGACAGCATACAAAAGCATGAAAAGGGGCTTAATTTTAAAAAATCTGAATGTTTAGTAATGTTAAGACAGATCTGAAACATGACATCCCAATGACATATCAGCCAACCCCCAAATTGAGCATCTTAACATGCATTACCAGTGGGGTGGGCAAGTAGATCACCTCTGGCCTTTTGTACTGGCTAAGGCAGATTTTCCCTGTTAAAGGCAAGCAAACCAACTAAGCAGTTAAAATGTGTAATTTGATCTCTGAATTGTCCACCGTATTCCTTTTTATGCTTATGTTTCCATGCATGTATACTCACATGTACACAGTGGGACTGTACAGTCGTATCTCTCCCCCACTTTCCCCAGGGTGAGCTTCAGGGAGACAATCCAGACTTAAAGCTACTTTTTGGGATAGGGTTATCTTAACCTGTGTAGGATTCATTCTCTTTCATAATGCTGCAGGATCAGGAGGTGATGAACTTCTTTTGAACGGGATTTAACAGCAGATTTGTTGACATAGCAGAGAAATAAAAGAGCCTTTCACAGAGAATTTGCGGGGAGGTGGTTATATGGCATAGAATCTTATCCTGAGTGTGGAATAACAGGCCACTCTCATTTTATTTCATTTAACATGTGCATCCTATTCAAGAAATGCCAGTTTATAAGTAAGGAATCTTTTTAATTTCTGTGTCAAAACATCAAAAACAATGTCAAGAAATTGGTAGTATTTTGGAGGTGAAATATGTACTGAGCATGAGCCTTCTCTTGCAGGCCAAAATTTTGTATTATAGATCACTTAGTTGCAATTCGCTTCCTATAGAGTTTTAACAGAAACATCTTAGATTAATCAATTCTGGAATTAGAGGGTGGGTGGGAAGGAAAGCTTCTGCTAAAAATGACTGCATGGCTAGAGGAAGATGCTTCTTCTATGTTTTGCTGTCTATCCAAGTTTGAAAGTCCGTCCTGTACTTGGGCCTAAATAAAGCCCAGAGGAAATAAATCCTGAATGGCACTTGCTCTGTTGAACCTGGCTTTCTTTTTCTGCAGACTCCTGTGATAGCCCTTAGGAAATGACAGCAATGGATATTCTAGCCCATAAAAAAATAAAATTATAGCTGAATTTAAGGGCAGAACTATACGCAAAGAGGAAAACAGTATTGCTAATTCTGGGATTTCACCCATTTATTCTCTAAAATATGCATAATTTGCATTTCTGTTTCAAAAAATGCTATCTAGGAGGTTCAAAAAGCAAATGTGGGAGCAGTGAAGGGTGTGGTCATAGAAAAAGACCTGTGTGGTGATTACCTTACCTTTCCCTTGCTGGCTGATTTTCCCCAGCCCTCCTCCCCCACTTCTTTTCATCATCTCTTTCTTATAATCAGACTGCAAACCCAGAAGTAATTCCAGCTGGTGTGTGGATGGGGTGGGAGGAAACAAACTGGGGACACAGTCAGGGGAAAATCAATGGGCGCAGAATAGTTTAAGCATCCCACCCTCCCTCCCGATTTTCTTCTGTGAATGAGCAACACTCATCTCAGCTAACATGGATTTGGGAGTGTGTGTTTGTCAAGACGACATGAGGCTGAACTCTAAAAGATAGCAGTATTTTACTGGCTACAGTTATAAATACTAAAAAATAACAGTTTCTGCCTTACTGGGCTCCCAATCTAAGTGGCAGTTTCAGTGGTACTGAGAAATGCAGTGAGAATTTTTTGAAAATAAGAGTAATAATGTACATAACAGCCTGATAGAAAAGCTGTCATAACTTCATCGTAAGTCTTGGCATGGATCAGCTATAAAAGATGCACATTTCTAGCTTTTGTATGGTTTGGAAAAAAGACCTTATGCAAATCTAAGTAGATCAAGTGGCAGTGAGGGATAAGAGTGATCTACTGGGAAAAGTACTGGGGGAAGCATTAGCCTCTCCCACCCCCAGTGCTGTGGTCTTACTTTATTTAGGGCCCTCCTATGGCTGCTATTCAGCTTTATAGAATCCATGGGATGTCCTGATCAGAGGTCTCCCATATGACATCTAGTTTCGCCATTAGGCTGTGTGCAGATGATTATTCCTGCTGAGTGAGTGCTCCCTTATTGTTACTTGTTCCTGCATTGGTGGCTTGATAACTGTGGAGACTGAACGGAGTAGTGGAACCGTGTGTGTGTGCAGGGGGTGTTCCTGTGTGGGTGGAAAGACTATTCACTCAGTTTCTTGATTCTAAGATAATTTTGTTTCTGGGGGAAATTGCACTGCTTTTTCTCTTTTAAGCTGCCTGGAAATGCATATGCTCTCCCTCCATATACTAAAATAACCCTATAAAAACCCCTTTAAAACTTTTCCAAAAGTATAACTTAGCACAGATGTGATTCTATTGATATGCACAGCAATTGCCCTAATAAGTTCTCTCTCCTGTTGCATTGCTGCCACCAAGGCTTCCAGAAACCTTGGATTGTCTTTTCTAGGGTGCCACAAAAATGCTGCAAAATCAGTCCGACCAGAAACATGTAGTCCTGCGAATGACAAATCTATAACTCTAAGGAAAGTTACCATCAGTACATAGCCTTAAAGTCTGGGTAGTCATACAGCAAATGACATGGACTCTGGATTGGTGGTACTTAAAAACCATAATTTAATGGTGATACATGTTGTATATGTGTTTCTTTTGTCCCCCCCTCCCATTATTAGGGTTCATGCTTTTCAAGCTGCTAACGGTCTGTGTTGTATTACCATGTTAGGGGCATTCCTTATTGTCTAGTCACTGAATTCTATGATTATAAAACAGTAAAGGGATCCTCCATTAGTAGTGGCATGTTTTGCAAACAGGCAGAGACCCTGTCTGGATCCCAAGCCTGCCAACCCTCTCTGTTAACATCAGCCATGTAATTCATTGTTCCTGCCATATCGATGCTTTCACTCATGCTCTGTTCTTTTCTTGTCTTATGATAAATGGCTGTCCATGAAAATGACAGGATTTTCTCAGGAGGATAGAAGTCTCAATTTCTTTCATGTCACATGGATACTGATTCTTGTGTGAAAAGGCAAAGCTAACCACCTTCTAGTATCTGGTGTGAAAAGTGAACAACAGAAAAAGTCCCTGTCCTTTGCTTTTTGTCTTTTTTCCAATTGGTTCTGTTCTTTATTAATTATTTTTAGATTCATTTCTTGCTTTTCTGTCATACCATGGACCCAAGGTACATTCCAGTATGGATACTATAAATTCAGTAAATACATCTAGATAACCTGTCATATTTCAAGAAGGATTTACGCGTGTCTTTCAGTGCTGAAATTCTGTTTAAGCTTATTGTTCATAATCTGTTACAATATGAAAGTTTACCTTTCTAGCTAATCTATCAGAGGCTATATAATGCAGACTACACTGTACCAGCTGCCTTGTGTCCACTCTGAGTAGTTTACTCTTAAGAAAGGCCTCAGTTTCAAAGGGGATACTAGTTCTGCAAACTTTGAAAGAAGTCAATAGTGTACTGTTCACTTCACATGTAATGTATTTGGGGGAACCAGACAGTGAAGCTCTGCATGCAGTATATAGTCAGGCTGCTGTTCTTCTGTCCTTTTAAAAAGATTGAAAGCTGTGTTCTACTTTTAAAGATCGAGTCCTTAATAAGAAGGGGAGCACTTGCCCAAGAGAGAGAGCACCAGTTGAAGCTTGATTACTCAAAGCTAGTCACTGAGCGCTTGTTAAGATTCACAAACTGGCATAAAGCATGTGTATTACTCCAGTGAGTGCCTGTGACACTTTGTGCACACATTCAATTAGTAAGCCCCCCCCCCCCAGCTGAAGGAAGAATAACATCATCCTACAGTATGTTGCAGCTTGAGTACTGGGAAGTAAAATGCCCCTAAAAGAGAAACTTCCTTGAGGAAAGGCATATGGATCTTCTGCAAAAAAAAATTAGTAAGGACTTCATGTTTGTTTTGTTCTAAGTTATTCCTCTAAAAAAAACCCCCTGTATTTTCTTCTTTTAGCTAAGATTGTTCCTGGCCCTGTTTAAGAAAAAAGAAGAAGAAAACAGCCACCCTAATAAGGATTGCAGGACATTTTAAATGGCATGGCACAAGGTGGGCAGTGGAACTATGAAATGTAATTAAATCATACCAGACCCCTACATTTGGCCCAGGTGCTGTTCTGTACAGTGCCATATAATTACTGTGTACTTTCATGTCAGACGGGGAGAGTAGAGCTTCCAAAGGTGTAATAGACAGCCCAGTTTACTCTCCTGTTGTTTAAGAGAACTTATTCCCACTCACGTTTGATGAGCTCGGAAACTTTCTGCCTTAGCACAAGAAGCAGGCATTATGTGGTTTGCACCGAAATGTACAAATATAAATTCCTTAACAGCAATGGGAGTGCCTTTTTCCCTACATTCTGGCCCCGAGCTAGCATTTATAGCATAAAAGCTGTAAAAATATAAATGGGGATCAGGGGAGCCACCTGGCTGAATTTCAGGCAAATTCTGGTCTAGCCAATTTCACTGTGGAAGGGAGGGAGGGAGGGAGGGAGGGAGGAAGGACAGAAGAAAATGTTCTCGAATGGGAGGATATTGGTAAGAGATAGATGTGTTATGCTGGTTTTTTTTTCTTTTTTAAGGGACACATGTGCAGACATATGGAAAGGCATTCATTGTTATGTTTTAATATTTAGAACTTCCAAAAATATACTGATCACATGATGTATAACATATCATGGGTGCTGTCCAATAGGCACCTGTAGGAGTCATGCAATAATTTAGAAATTGTTTGCAGCCGTGTATCTTGCTCTGACAGGAATTGATTTTGTCTAGCCAGATATTATACTGAAGTTGCAAAACTGATTCACCCAGAGACCATTATGAAATGGAAGGGCTAATGATAGCACTACAATATGAACACCACCTCTCTGAAAAAAACAGGATTATGCACAGACCAAGAAGTGATGAAGGATTCTTGGACTGGGTACTGGAGGGAAATGGGGTTACTGAGCCAGAGGAAGAATACGACTGTAGATTTAGGTTTGCTGAATAGAATAGTGCCTATTCTAGCTGAGGTGACATTAAGACAAACTTGTGTTTTGCTTTGTTTATCAGCATCACTTGAGAAAAAACAGATTAGAGTGCTGGGGTTCATAATTTTGAGCCATTATGCTGGCATTTTTCCAGTCCTATAAAGTAGCCTGGTGACCATGGATCTCCCTGCCCCCTTTTGAAACCATTGGACAATGCGTTAGAATTAGTGCAAGAGAATTAATGCTTCTACTTTTCTTATATCTTCTAAAATTTCTGCCCATGATAAATTAATTGCCAGCTCTTAGGGTGCTACAAGTTGCTTTCCATTTCTACAGCAGGCAGAGCAAGAAATATCAGCCAGATTCAAGTAGGCAACTTTCCTTTCTCTCATGCTCTGGGCACATTTTTCTCTGCCTCACCTACTCTCTCAGGTGCCAGTTCCTGGATATGCTGCAGCTGGTATGCCTCCTCCCAGGAATCTTGCTCAGCACCAAGTTGAGGCTTGCCAACTTCCATCCTGTTAGCTGTGACTGGCATCAGGTGCAAGATGTCACCACTGATTATCTGTATGCTCTGCAGGGGTGCTAAGGAGATCAGGAACTCTCCTGATTGTTCATGTATTTTGCCCCTCTTGCACTGAAGGTTGTTTTTCTTTCCTGTAGTTGGTGTGTAAACATTTTGCAAGAGTGGGAGAAGAAGTAATAGCTCTTCTGATTGACCAAAGCCGGTGCACTAAAATGGTGCATGGAAGACCCAAAATATACTATGGGTAGAATACTTAAATTCACAGGGGAAGCAAAAATCATAAGGTTGAAATGTGATTGTAAATATGTCTTTCTACATGGCCATCCAATTCAGATGCCTTTAAAATGAAAGTTTGTCTTTTCATGGATTTATACCAAAAGCAGGAGAGAAGCTTAAAAGTGATGTGACACCTGTGTAATGAGTCTTCCCCTGGAATAAGCTTATCAGACTGTTTCTTCGGTCTGTTGGGGGTGAGGAAGCAGTGCTTCTCCAGATGTTGTTGGACTCCAGCTTCCATCAGCCTCAGCCACCATAGCCAGTGGTTTACAAGTTCTCTGCCCCATTCGGTAGTAAAGAACTGTAGCTCCCTTTCCCACAAATAATATTTTCTTCTGCCAGATAATGTGCATATCTTAATAGCTTGCTTAGCCTGTGTCTCCTTCGTGTATTTTAGACTCCCCGAGATTTCAGTAAGCTGGGACATTTGGGGGAAGAGACATAGCCTGTGTCTTAAAGGCAGGTTATATCATGTCATGCAAGTAATTTGTATATCTGATGTGTCAGGGAGTGTGCAGTGCATGCCACAGTAGGCTGCTGAGTCTCTCCCATATTTCCATTGAATTTTTTCCAGTTGGGATTTGCTGCAGCAAACGGGGTCAGATCTGAGGAGGGATGGGGGCAGGGAAGGTCCATCACATCTTCTGTGAAAACTCCTAGAGCAGCTGCTGCCCAGTGTTTTTTCCCTTGTTTCCCCATCTAGGTGTGTAGTTTGAAAGCTCCTTTCACTGGACTCAGCAGTGTCAACACAACACCACAAAAACCTTGAATTTGTTCTTGTTTGCTTTCATTTTCCAAGGCAGAGGGAGGTTGCCCAACTCTGGCAGAGCCAGAGTAGCAAGAGGAAATGATGGGGCCTCCCAGTTAGGGACACAGCTTTCTTTTTCCTCATAAGGTAGGATTGTGCCCCATTGCTGGATCAGGGGGATGTGGGGTCAGGGAGTTGCTGCCTCTTCCCTGCCTGCTTCCTCCCAGCTTCACCAGCCTCATCCAGGGTCAGCACCAGAATGACATAAAAACATCCATATGGGCTGTGTCTCATGGCCTTTTCCTTTCAGTGGTCTGGCAGGCAGGTCAAAGGGAAGAGGACAATGGCTTCAGGAAAGGCAGCAGCTTTTGCTGTCATTGTGGGCCATGCAGTTTGTAGGTATGTTGCTCCCCCTCCCCCCTCCGGTATCCTCTTAGAATACTTCTGCCTGAGATTCTGGGATTTGGAACTAGCAAGGACTGTGTGTGAGTGTGTGAGGATCGTCTTAAAGAAGCTAAGCTAACAATAAGATCCTGTAAAAGAAGCTAATTAATTAGTCATGTTATTCTTCTGTTTCTCTTACAGCCGCAAATGTTATTCTCATTTACTTAACCTTATCCTAAAGTACCAGAATAGTCAACAGTTTAATTCTCCTGGAGAATCTGGAATCTTAGAGTGTACAGTCAGGCATGTTTGTTTGAAACCCATGTCAATTGAGGGCAGGCCATGGTAGTGGGTTCTAACTTGAGATAGATGCTTAAGATTTAAAATAATAATGCATTGGATTCTTATCAAAATTAACCCCTAGCTCTAATGCTTACCTTCTGTCTCATAATGTTGGTAATAATTTTTGTACCAATCCAGGGTATTCAAGATAATGTGAAAAATGCATGTTTGAACCTCTGATTATTGTGTTGTAGCTGTAAGTGTGGACAACGCAACAATACTGACAGATTATGTATACAAAACATTGTGGTCCAAACTGCTGAGGCATGTTGGGCAACTATGGCGTGACAACATTTTCATTGGGGAAATAGGGGGTGGTTTGCGGGGTGAGACACACAGCTGGTTGGAGATGCTACAGTGTAATTGATGTTTACTTTGCTAAACTGAAAACAATCCTGGTTTATTATCATTTGCAATAATAGCCCTTAATTGCTGCTGA